TTGATATTTCGTATTTTTGATTTAGATGCCGCTGTTTCTAAAAGGACTGAAAACAAGTGGGGCAATGGTGCCGTTAGCAACGAGTGGGGCAATGGCGCTGGTTCCAACGGCTGGGGCAATGGTGCCGGTGGCAACAAGTGGGGCAATGGTGCTGTTTCCAACAGCTGGGGAAATAGTGGAGGTAATTTTACAAACACACTCACTTACATGTGTGTATATATTTAGTGACGTTTGTCGGCATTTTTTGTTGTCGATCTTTTCTTCTAAATAATGTTGTTATCGTTTCCAACTTTCTCTTTTTGATAAAATGATTCTGTCATTCTTCTTTTTCTGATTTTTTCCCATTCACTCAATGTTTTATTTATGTAGTTTTGCCAATTTAGAATTTATTCCTTTCTCCCCCACAAATTGATAATCTTGAACACAAATACAAATTTAAGTAATCGGTAGAGTGTTTTCTAGCAGTTGTTTTTTTGGCATTTAACTATTTGAATGCCGTGGTGTTTTCAGCTTTCTTAGTTTTTGTTCTTGAGTCTTGTGTTTGGTTTTTGCCGTGAGGAGAAGAAGAGCTCAGGAAAAGTTACCCCCCCCCCCCTCCCCCTACCGTTCATACGTACTACCGGCACTCAATTGCCAGAAAGGCGTTATATTCACGGATTTAGTTGTTCTTTGCTCTTCTTCTTTCTCAATGAAATCCTTACATCTATTTCTAGTTAAAGTTCCAGCAAAAAAAAAAATGTTTATACATGTTTTCCTTTCTTTTATAGATTCTCCTGTAAAAAGCTCCTGAACTGGTCGACTGTATTGCATGTTAAAAACTGTCCAATCTTAGTACATTAGCATTTTAGAGTTCTTTTTATCACCTTTGTTTAAATGATATAATGATTCCTATATATGGTAGGGCGGGGATGCTCGGCGAAAATTTCCAAAATGACCTCTAAAAGACATCAGAATTCTTTAGGAAATGGGAGTGGTTAAATGAATTTTAACCCCTAAAAGAGACAAAATTGCTGGGTTTTACCCACAATTTGCAAAACTTCGAATTTCACACTCTAAAAGATAGCAGATCCTTAATTTTTACCCCTAAAAGATACGACGAGCATCCCCGCACATTGCTATACGCCTACGGAGTCACCCCCCTCGCTCTCCCCCCACCCCGGGCCTGGAAGAGGGGCACGCCTGCTTGAAAGCTTGGTAAAGTAAAATGTTTAGGCCAATAAAACAAAATCTGTTGTCATGAATATATTGATAGCAGTATGATACGCTAACTATTGGTATAGCTAACTGGATTATCATATGATCGATTTGCTTCACTATAGTGATAGCTAGGTCTAAGCTTAAATGTAATTCTAGGATAATCCTTTTTTCTTAGTCATTTTTAAAGCATTAGTATTGTAAATTAAATTGAATGGATTGGATATGAATAAAAAGTTGCCGTTTATATGAGTATATGTGTGGACATAGACATTTTCGATTCTGTCATGTTCACGATGGCTTTTAAAAATCCGTTGTTAGTATGAATACATCAGTGTTGCGTTGATTTAATCGGCTCACTCTCCTCTGAAGCGCTTTAGATGTCCTTTGGCATGATGACTAAGCATATCTTAGAAAACTCATTAATAATTCATGAAGAAAACACAATAGAAATCATGACCATGAAGGTGATTTTATATCTGATAAAGATTCGTCTTCATTTGCATAAACTTTAACT